TGGTTGTGAAACTTATTCCGTCCCTGGTTTTGGAACGTTAGATCGATTCAAACGTATGATCGTCGGTGCCTTCGCGGTATAACAGGCGTTAGATGGCTGTAGCCGGTTATCAATAAAATGGAGCGTAAGTGACTTCTTGGTGAATCAGAATCACTAGAGCAGTAAGTAAATTGCATCAAGTGGTGGTTGGGACAAATACTCCGCGTGCTCAACCCCATTTTCTAGTTAGCGAATGGCCCTAGCAGAGGCGGGAAATGGAGGTGACTACCGTTTAACTGAGTGCCATAAGGTTTTCGCACCTTCCTGGTTGGAGTCCGCATAATTCTGTTTGCACTTGGTTAAAAACGCTACAGCACGTGGTGCCCAACTGGTCCCACTAGCCAGTGTGTGGCTACTTCTGGTTACACTGCTTAGCTTAAGTTCATCCGTCGGTGTAGAGTTGGGTGAGTGAAGTCCACAGAGAACACCGGTTGAGTCCGAACCATGGAGTATCGCTTTGACATGATGTTGTTTCAATGTATAGATATCTTGTTCTTGATCATTCATGGGGAAATAAGAAGAAAAAACGTTCAGCTGTAGCGCCCTTCCGGTGCCTAGCAGCCATGCCACCCGAAGGAAGCACGAGGGCTGGGATACTGCCAGGTTGCCCAAGCCTAGACAGAGGAAGTCGAGAGGCGGAGGTCAGATTCGAACCACGGACCTTCCGGTCAGTGAATTCGCGCTCTAACCACTTGGGCCATCTCGCCCCTTATTTGGGGAAATAAGGTTGCTTGTAATACCTCGGTGCCCTTTCCTTCGATTTTTTATCAGGAAATCCTTTCTCACAGTTTTTCTGCTAATCACCAATATTTACTACTGGTTACTTGATGGTGATAATGACCCGCTACGCACCTTTCTGTAGCTTACACGACGTAGCCAGCTAACTCTTGCTATGCTACGCAGACCAGTGATCAAACATTTTGAGGCGTTTGCATTTCTCGGATCTCAGGGGCCATATTTCGTAAATACAGAAAATCTCGCATTTGCCATGCTTCAGCGAACCCCGTTTTCAGCACCAAAAATGACGCAAGTTGACGAACGTTGCTCGCGTCTTCATTGTGCTCATATTGCCTTCATATGTTACAGCACAGTCACATGTCCAAGTACCAAGATATGTGGGCTGCGCAACAAACTCAAATGCTTCATTCCGAATTTTCGGAGGGACAAGAGAATGACAGATTCTGAAGGAAGACCTTGCAGTCTTGCAAAGGGCATGCTGTAACACGGGATCACCTCTGCCATTCTGAATTTGTGCCTACAAATAATCGCCAAGGAACAAAGCACATAATTCACACAATTCTTATCCATCGCTCTTTCTGCAGACGAGATTTCGATACATAGGTCCGCGGTCTCTTCGTCCAAGCGTTCCGTGATAGCCACGACACCAAAATTGAATAACAAAAGAAAAGACAAGGCTGACGAACTTCACGAGCTGTGTCAAGGCTTTTGGATAATTCATCGAGCGACTGGACGTGTAGAAATAAATAATGCTTACAAACTAATGACATTTCCCTCTGACCAATGGGTCGATTTATTTACAGAGCCGAATTCTCCTTTGAAGTCGAACGGAATCTCGGTCCTTGACCGGTTGTAGCACTGCTCAAGTATTTACCCTACGGTAACGATTTGGCGAATGAAGCCCGTATCAGCTCGAAATCCTGCTTGATACCCTCGGACTTCTGTTCCACCTGCCGAACACAGCCATTGCAATGTCAGGAAAGGCACTTGTCGTGTTGTTACATGCGTGGGGTTATGCTCCTATCTTTGGAAGCCTTAGAGTGCCCTTTTTAATGCGTGTACGGCCATTAATTGGTCCCGATACCATGGCGCACGTTATTGTTCAAAAACAAGTGAAAACAATCTAGTCAAGATAGGACGAAGCGGTCCAGGTGCATCTTTGAATAATATCGAGGTAACTCCTTCCGGCCTAAGAGTCGGATGGCATTTTAAGACATCAAGCATTCAGCTGTAGCATCCTTCCGGTGCCTAGCTGCCAAGCCACCCGAAGGAAGCACGAGGGCTGGGATACTGCCAGGTTGCCCAAGCCTAGACAGGGGAAGTCGAGTGGCGAAGGTCGGATTCGAACCACGGACCTCCCGGTCAGTGAATTCGCGCTCTAACTACGGGTCATCTTGGGACATCAAGACATGTCAGTAACTGAGTTGAGTGCGAACTCACGGATCACGACTCAAAATGAGAGGGTCGACTCAAAGACCGAAGTACAAGAGTAGAGGGTTAGCTCGAATGTTGTTGAAGATGTTCCACCCTGTGGTTTAAAAGCTGATCTATATTATATATTAGTTTCCCACAATCATCTCTGATGACCTCATTAATAGAATGCCTCTTAGATTCTGTTTTGTGGACTGCCCGAAACAGCTTCCATGTATTCCCACATGTACTTTCACTTCTTGAACCTTCTGGTTCCACCACGCTTGCCTACATACACTACGGCTGAGCCGACGTCAAATCGATCGACTGCCTGATTGCGCTCCAGGCCCGAACAGATAGGGTTTTGCATCATGGAGTAAAAGTGACTTTCCTGAGATCCAGTGTTTTACGTGCGTGGGCTCGGAAAACCCTCAACAGGATTTCCGGCGTAACATATAACTCGGGTCAACTCATCCAAGCTACGGCCAAAGTCCTCAGAGGAGGCCTCCTGTAAAGCATTGCATAGTTGTTTCCCTAATTCAGTCCAGTTCACTTTACCAGCTATAAACCATTAACCAAGGGTTTCCTTAGTTTATGGCTCAGAGCCGATCCCCTGCTAAATGAAAAGCTTTTGTTCACTTGATGTTAAGCCTGCGAATGAACAGTAGAACAGCCTAAAGGAAGATGAAATACAGTTGCTAGCTTCAGTACCACTGCGACTTCCGACCTCATAGCGCAAGGCACAAGAAGAAGAGCACCAGGTAGGGGGTGCGTTGACCACATCTTCACGTTACCTTATATGTTGGAGCAACGCCACACAGACCGCTGACCAACTATAGCTGTTTTCCTTGGCTTCAACGGGGTCTTCGGCCCCATGGGTAAGTGATCCCTACATATACTCGGCCAACGAGGAATGCTTTCGGAGTTTATGAATATCCTGAGGCTTGAAATAGCTCAGTGGTTAAGGCGCGAAGTTAATGACCGGCAAGTCCATCAGCACCATTATCATGGTCATTCACAGCACAACATCAGTGTTCAGCACAAATGCTTCTCTGCAGTGAAGCATCGGTGTTGAACACTGATTTCATGCTGGAGATGATGATGATGATGCAGTACATCCATAGTTTATTCGAAAGCTTTATCGTGAAGAAAAGTATAAAAGTGAGCAGGGAGAGGACTTAGTGTTAGCCAACCAAAATAATTCAGAGGTGTCTTCACCTTCATACACCCATTTCAACACTCAGGATAGAGACTGGCAACAAGAACGCCACTGAGGTTGGTCAACAACCATATCTTTCAGGGTCTCCAATCGCGCACAGGGGTTCTCGCCGTCTCCATTCTGTAATTCGAATCGTATCGGCAACACCAGATTTTCCGTAATCGCTTTAATATGCCTCCCCCAAATCAAAGCCTGACCACCTCTGCTTACGCCATCATCTTCCACACCAACACTGACGGTGGCACCAAGGAGAGCATCAGTTGTTCACTGCCACACAACCATGTCAGTCTATTTGAATAAAGTCTCATAATGGGAAGAAGATATGAGACAGGGAGGGGAACCTAGGGCCAGCCTACCTCAAGCGCCTGCGATGCCTGCTTCTACAACCTTCAGTCAGACAGAAGTTGACAACATGAACGCCATTGTCATAATTTAGCCGTCACTTTGTTCAACTTCATCAGCCAAACAGGGAAGGTCACCTGGACATGGTCAGACGATGTGCCACTTTTAGACCAGAAGCCCTGCGTTCCAAATATTGAGTCACTATAAATAGGAATCTCTCTTCTCGAATCTGCTTTCACTTTCATTGCACCGACAAAGGGACAACAACCAGACTGACGGCGATGACACGACTAGAGGTGATAGGTTTTCCTTACATCCGAAAAAGCTTACTTTCAGAGCGACTTGGCGCTGTAAGGTCTTCTTTTACCAGCACACATTTGTTACTAAATTTGACATCAGGAAACTGCCCAAAATTTTCCATTATACCAAATAAAACACCCTGACTTTTCATCATTGATGTTTGTTCGGTGCATTCTGCGGGGGACAAACGCTATCTGATAGTGGGATTGTGTCCAATTCACACCTTGACATTCAGTGAGCCAACACCCTGACTTTTCATCATTGATGTTTGCTCGGTGCATTCTGCGGGGGATAAACGCTATCTGATAGTGGAATTGTTTCCAATTCACACCTTGACATTCAGTGAGCTTAATAATCCGTTTGAGCCCATGCTCGGTAGGCTGCATTTTCTGGCCACTCGGTTTATGCACCTCATTCATCGAAAAGATTGTTAACAGTCGAACGGATCGAATAATGCTTTTCGCCTCGCAGTCGATAGAGCCTCGACATTCACTTGCTCTTGCCTCGTTGGTTGGACCACATTGCAGCATGTCCGGGCCATCCTGTTCAGATGATTCAATCACCACCATCGAATGACGCGATCAGCTGAGAATGAGTAATATGTACTCGTTTAACAGTGTGCACGATTGCTCTTGTTATGATCAAAAACCCTAACAGCCTGTTCCTGTTCATATTCGGATTAGCCGAACATAGCTGTAGTTGCGTTTGTGCCACAAGACCGTACATTTGAAGGATGAACAAACCAAACTGCTGTCTGTATTGTCTATCTTGCGATGAGTAGCACATCTCTCAAGAAACGAAAGAGGTAAGGCGTCTATGAAAAATGCGATCTGCGGATGTTTCGAGGAAGCCTTTCCGAAAAACCGATTTATCAGCTACTATTCATCCGTGTGGGTCAGGTTGCATATTTTCGCTTGGAATATCTGTCATTATTATTTCTTCTTATTTTTAGGTTTTGTGTTCGTTCATTATCGACGCCTCGCTTACGGGGCTCCGGTTACGGTGCTTAGTTTTCACGTTTCCATACTCTGAGCAGCAGCAGTAACAGCAAGGATTTATTCCGTAATGACAGTTATGGGAAATTGTTTTCGCAAAACCAAGCAGTACACAAACAACCACTTTAATCCGGAACCGCGTCCTCCTACATCACCATCGGCGCCGATTCGATCACCGAAAAAAGCCAAATCCAATTCTTTACCCAGGTCCGAAGAACAAAATGTGTTCAGGGTACCGCCAGTTTTGCCAGTGGACCTCAACGGAAGCCCGTTTTCCCTCCGTACTCACAGATTTAGTGACCAATTTCCCCCTCATTGTCAACTCCTCAAAACATCAGCTTGTTCCTCTTCTGCGCACGTGGTTGCCCCTGTACATGGTGCACACCAAGAACAACAGCAGCCAATCAACTGTCAACAAAAGTATCATGATCGATCGACACGTGCATTTCCAAGGCCAGAATTAGAGTCTGTTGATCAGAGGTCTGTGAACACCGCCTATCCTACCCCGTTTTCAAGCATAAAAAGGGCGAGAAATCTACACGTCTCATTATACGTCTATTCTGCTCGAACAGAGGAAGAGATACCGTTACAGAAAGGCGACGTTGTTGCTGTGCTCAATGACAAGTAAGTCCTTTTTTCGAGTTAATTTTACCGAGCACAGTTTGGGTGAAAAGACTTAGCCCAGAAACTTGCTACGATTAAGTTTTGTCAAACACCTGTAATTTCTGAGATCATAAGGTTAGTGACCTCACTGTGATGAAATACAAGCAGGTAGGTCCAATTCGAAATACCGTTGATAGACTCTCTCCAATGTACAACTCTTCAATACTCAAAGTACCCGTGCATAAAGCACGGGTACTTTGAGGCGACCAACGCCACAAGATTTCTGTAGTATGGGTGGGGTCACCCCCTCGGATGTAGGCGACCCCTCTATCACCACTTGGTGTAGAACCCAGCTACTCTGATCAAAACCCTTTGAGGTGGCTAACTTATTGTAGACATACTGACGTGTTACTAACCCCTGGACTCTGCCGCAAAGTACGTCAAACGATAGTTTAGGCAGCAAGTTTTGTCTTTGTCATCCACAAAATTTCATTCGAATCATCCCGCAAACCCCCAGGTACCACCGTCGATACCATAACTTTCGAATCACAGTCTTATTCCAAATTACATCTTTCTGTCCGCTGTGATTTTCACAAAGTATACACTTCAGCGCTCTCACTCACGGTCCACTACCCATAAGCAGCGATTAATTTCACGCATTCATTACTTTGCATCCCGTCAGCTTGCTTCATCCACCCCTCATGATTTTCCTGTACATAATATAACTCTAATTTTCGGTGGAAGGGGGAAGTACAACAATTAAGGTGGCAGCTCCTCCTCCTGTTGTTCAGTTCCGATGCTTTCGCTGGGTTGTTTAAGTGCTGTAAACTGATGCTGCCTGGAAGCCCGTTGACTCGACTCCAATCCTGACTTCTTGATTGTACCCGTCTGTGCTTGTTCGACCTGGCGGTATTTCAACCTTCTCGTTTCTTTCAGGACGCACGGCAGCTGTGCACTGGAACGATACCAAACCTGAACAATTTTATTATTTTGAAGGTTCCAAAATAAAAATAGTCACTGTACACCCTCACTTGAATTTCCGGCTTGCTGAAGCGGTCATCCTACCTGCTACCTCGTTGAATTTGCTACTGGGTGAGATGGCCCAAGTGGTTAGAGCGCGAATTTACTGACCGGAAGGTCCGTGGTTCAAATCCGACCTCTACCTCTCGACTTCCCCTGTCTAGGCTTGGGCGGTATCCCACCCCCAATGCAACCTTCGGACGGCATGGTATTTAGGCACCGAAAGGGCGTTACAGTGGAACGAATCTGCTACTTTATAGATGTAAGTGGTTAGGGGATATAATATCAAGACTTTATTCGTGTGATTTCTTCAAGATCTTTTACCGACTTTTTTTTACCATTTAAGATTGACTGAAAAGGCCAGGCTGTGAGGTGCTGTTGGTCTACGAATTTGTCCTCACACCATTTTTACATCTTTTGCCTCAGGGACCCAGATTGGTGGTTTGTGGAACATCTGAAAACTTCAAACAAGGGCTATATACCTGCCGCCTACGTTGCTCCGCAAGGCTCGGTCGAAGCGGAAGAGTGAGTTATTTCTCTCTTGTTTCTGTGTCTTTCTTGTTCACCGTTGCTGTGAATACAGGCTGGATCATTTGCCCTACACACGTCGAAATCTCTTGATCTAACTGGAACTGGACATCTCCTAAAGTTTAAGATAGTTGATAATCCTCCCGTACAACGGACATTTAGTTGCTATTATGGTGTTGTTCTACCTACAATACGTACGATGCTAGTGGTTGTCATTTTTTTCAGTCCATTTTTGTGTTGTCAACGATGATCTTCACCATCATCGTCACTCATCACTAGTGTTGAACACCGATGCTCCACTACCATACAACCAAAATTTACTTAAAAACGTTATCGTGAACAAAAGGATAAGGGTGGGTGGGGAAGGGACTTGGTGCTAGCCTACCTCAATCATTCCGAGGTGCCCACACCTTCAAACACTCGTTCAAGCTAGAAAGCCACTGGCATCGATTAGCGGCCATATCTTGCAGTGTCTCTAACCAGGTGCAGTGGTCATCACCGTGTCTTCATCCCGGAAGGCGAATCGCATCGACAGCGCCCAGACTTTTTGTGGCCTCTTTCATACCCCTTTGTCAGGTCGAAGACTGACCACGTTTCGGCTTCCGCCACTCGGAAATGGGCGTGGAAAATACCAGACGATGATTCGGCATATGCAGCGTATGGTCCATCCAGCGCATCTTCTGATACTGAACACATTCTTTGATAGGTTGTCATCAATCCAGCGCATCTTCTGATACTGAACACACTCTTTGATAGATTGTCATTATACGTCATTCAGTCAGTTCACTACATTGAGTTGACATTAAAAGTCCTTGCGCTGTGCCCCCTTCCGAGAAACAAAATATGCCGCAACATCGGCCATGGATTCTGGTTTTCCCGCCCAAAAAAAGCTGACTCTCACTCAGCCGCGTTGACTAGCCACATGGCTAGAAGAGAGTGGCGGGAATAACAAGGTCCATGTAAATAGCTTGTGAACTCGTTGTTCGGTTGAAGGACGATATCTAGGTTGTTGATTCGCTAGCTGTATCAGTCGAGAAGACAAACGACCTTGAGTAAGTTGTACTGGAAGTAACTGAACCGTTCCGTGATATGGATTCAAATGAACCAGAATATAAAAAGACCAAACAGTCCAATGGGATATCCATGGACGGCTGAAATGTGGAAACAAGGTTTCAATTTGCCAATGGTTAGCAAAATGAGTTTGTTCGTTTGGAGGTGATCTTCCTAATAATAATATGAACCATTTCTATCCACTCGTTCGGGGACTGTGGCTTGACGAACAAACTACAAGCAGTGCGTGTGATTACACACTGGTCTAGCATGTAGTCGTGATTTCGCTTGCGTAGTTTGTTAGCCTACCTAACCCATAACATGCTCGACAATGATAGAAAAAAATCGGGTGTTTCGCCTACCAGTTGATTTTGTTCTACTATCTGGTCAATCTCAACATCACTGTACCTGACATCACCTTGTGGCATTATACTATAGCAAGAGTGAACTATCCCTGAAGCTCAAGGGACGTGTGTATCAAGCTACAGTACGAGCTGTTTTGTTGTATGGCTGTGAGACTTGGCCTATTCGAGCAGCGCAACTGAGACGCCTTCGGGTGTTCGACCATCGTTGTCTCAGAACCATAGCTCGTGTGGGTTGGTGTCAGCGAATCCGTAACGAGGCAGTTAGAAAGCGCGTTTTCGGTTGTGTAACGGATACTTCCATTGAAGAATGTGTCCAGCACCAGAAGCTGCGTTGGTTGGGACATGTTTTACGCATGCCGAACCATCGTTTGCCGAAGAGAGTACTGTTTTCCATGCCCAATTCAGAGTGGCGTAAGCAGAGAGGTGGCCAACCCTTGACTTGGCAGAGGAGTATGAAGAAGATCACGAAACACTTGGGTGCTGTCGGTGCTAGTCGCCTCGCAGGATGGGGACCGCGTGACCCTCACTGTGCCTGGTTGGAGACACTACAATATATGGCTGCCAGCCGATGTCAGAGGCGTACTTGTTATCAGTTTCTATCCAGACTGCCTGAGTGAGTGTCTGAAGGTGTAGACACCTCGGAATGATTGTGGTAAGCTAGCATTAAGTCCCTCCCCTGTCCACATTTACTCTTTTCTTTACAATAAGGCTTTCAAATACGTCATGGTTGTACAGCAGTGAAGCATCGGTGTTGAGCACCGATGTCATGCTGTCGATGATGATGATGATCCAGTACCTCTCAACTAGATCAACTTGTCCCAATGCACCAACTGGCTCGTTTTCCGAACCGACAGAGTCTTTCATTTGAGTGCAAGTGTGTCAAATTTGAGAGAGCGTGGCCCAATGAATGCATTAAAAGAACGTGCAGAGGGTGAGGATTTTCGACTATGATAAGACGAAGAGTCTAGTTGGTTCGAACAGCCACTTGTTTTGGAGTTAACTTCCGAAAGTTTTCATTCAATGATGGGGCTTTATTTCAATTATTGACTAAAAGAACTCCCATATCGACGGATCGGATAAATGGAGATATTACAGGCATGGTTTATCTACAGAATAAATCAGATTCAGCACAAGCTTACGAAACGGGCAGGTGTGTAGAGTCGTTGGGTTTTCAAATGTGTACTTTGAATCACTCTAGTTTAGTTTAGTTTGTGTAGAGTCGTTGGGTTTTCAAATGTGTGCTTTGAATCACTCAGTTTAGTTTAGTTTAGTCTTAGTTACCAGTTAAAGTGAGGGTAATCTATTTGAACATGATATCCCACTATAATCCGAGACACTTATGGAGCCGACCAACCCTATAACACAAGAGTAATTAAGTACAACGCAGTGTTTCACGCCTCTCAGATCATCCACAGCTGGATTCCGCTCCATCCCGTGAAGGTGTCGGACTGGCCAACTTGAAATCTTGGTGGAGATCCCATAAAAGAGTATATCAGCCCTACGGATGTACCGGGGCACAAACGTTTATGGTTTCAAAGTTCAATCAGTAGCTGCCATGAAACAGGAAGGAAGCGTCAGCCAAACCTCCGTTCACACACTCAATAGTACGAAGTCGTTTATAAACGTTCTAAGACGGAACGGCTGGAGATTGCCATGAAAACCTCTCCGGTCATAAGGTACCATGAGGAGTCTCTGTATTTTCGTCGCGCCACTTTTTTTGTTGTTAAGTCATTTGAGCAGAGTAACCTTCCTGAAAATCGTAGGATTGATTTGAGAACGGATCTGCTAAGTAGAAGTTTGTCACCGAGATTGGTGAAAACATCGGTGGCTCTACGGCTTCGTCTCAGGGTATCTGGACAAAATGTACTTCGTGGCGTTTCTAAGCTGGAAAAATTCCTTGCAGCTGTCTCAATCGGCTGCATGTCTTTACATAGATATATTTTCTAAATAGGAAATCTTTAGTACCCCACCGATCATGAACTGCCTCCCTGTCGTGGTGATCGGACTTGAACGCTGCAATGAACCCGCAGTTGGAACTCTTTTCCACAAGATTCAACCATTCCAGGACGATTAAAGAGGAGCACCGAGCTCTTGTACTACGGATAACAGTAATACGAGACAATCCGTAGGCTAAATCGGCGATGGAACTTTGGAGACTGTGAGTGTTCCCTCAAGGCAAACAGCATTTCCATATTCATAGAAGCAGTGATTCTGCCTTCCCCTAGGGAGAACGGGTTTGAAAAGGTCGGCCCTAAAAACCACACCCCACGATTGCCTTACAGTTTGTCATGACCTCCGGCGATATATGACTAAAACCTATCAGCAGCCCGATACAGTTTTAGACTCATCTTTCATGTACAGTATCATCAGGATTGAAACTTCTATGATTTACTCCCTGGGTAATCGTGTCAGATCACGTCTCAATGATCAATATATTCAGTCTATTGTATCAGTGGCTCTGACAGTTACATTCAGTCGTACTGGATTGGATTCCAGTGTACAGTCGACTTTGCTCTGTACGAGTGTCTGGTTCCATTAAGGTCAGGTCAGTAGGGTAAACTGTGCCCATTTGTCGTATCGGCATACACCCTGACAGACTGCAGTTCTGGCGCTCAGAAAGACGGGTTGCCGTTCATTCCGAGCTCTGCAGCTTGACTCCGACCACACAATTGTGCGGTCTCGGTTATCGATTTACTTCCTCTCAGAATTACGCATGCTGAGGCAGAGCGAATCTGTTCACCAACTTCAACCAGTTTCAGTTGCTCAACTTATCTGACTGGAAAGCTAATGAAAACGCACAGTGGACTTCAGACCAGCCAATCGATGCAGTAGATAAATTTGTTTGTCTTGGCAGTTGTATAAGTCCCGGTAGACTAGCCGGAGATAAACTTACTTCTCGAATCGAGAAGGCCAGAGCAGCTTTTGTGGCCGATTGAGGAGTGAACGAAGACATACCATGTTTGATCAATCAGGGTCGATCGATTATATCTCTCGGTGCTTCTCGCTCCCTCACGAAGATTCTAGCTTAACCTTGTGGGGTATTTTGTGATAACCCTAGGAATACAGTTTTAATGATTCTTCTTTGTCTCCATAGAAAGCTGCAATGCCCTTTTATATACCACAGTTGACGTGACGGGAAGTCAAGGACTGACAGTTCTCAAACCACCTGCAGAGCACAACAGAACCTCGGATTCCTATTATGCCTTTATGGCGTCAGTTTGTCAAGGGTAGGGTATACACTGCGACGGTGCGATCCATACTGCTTTACCGATCGGAAACAGGGTGTGACAAAGCTCTGTTAGACTGTTTGGTGTCTCCGAAGCATTGGCCGGGTTTGGTGGAAACACCGGGTTAGCAACGCTGAGGTGCGTCAGATTGTTTTAGGAAGAAGAAACTTGCCCGCGATAGATGAATTACTCACGCTTCGCTGGTCAGGACATGTGTTCCGCATTCTGGAAGGGCCTATCTCCCCCAGTCCTGTGCTAGGTGGAAGCGACCGAAGGCTAGATAGTCAATGACCCGACAATGGAGTGCTAACTAGTCAGGTCGACAACCGTCGCCTCCCTGGGTGAGGACCGTGGGATTCAACTCATCACAATGGTTAGTGACACTGGCAGACATGGCTCAATCACGCACTCGTGCATCAAAGCTAACTCATCATACAATCGCCTCTACTGCTTCGCCATATCCCCCACGTTCCCCCATTTTCCGGTGATCGGAACTGGAACCAAATTACCCTTGGTACATGGTTCATAGTTGATTAACTGAACTGAAGCTGACCGGTAGAGTTTAATTCCTCACACTAAGCCCGCAGTCTTAGAGTATATTTTCAAAAATTAGGGTAAATCTACCCATCGACAAGGAACTAAACAAGACAGTCATTTCAGCCTCGTGTTCAAAACGTTTATCCTTCTATTTGCCATTCGCCACATTGCGATGGCTAGAATGTACAATCTTTTGCATTGATGAGCTACCTCCTACCCCCAGATGTAACATCGACATGTACCTGTCCACCTGTGTCGAACAATATTTCACCTTTTTTCCTGCCAACTGGTATTAGTCCTCTGGTGCTTTATGCGAAAACAAGCTTGCCAACTCTGTAGCGCGTTCTGTTCCTGTCTAGACTGTCGCAAGGTTTGTGCACAACGTCGCATTACATTAATCCACAAACACCGACAGACACATTTGTACATCGTCGTGACACAACAGTATTCACTCACTTGAGGCAGTAGCAACAAGTGGACATACAACAGCAGCTAAGACATCACAACACTACGCTGTACTGCCTACTCGGACGGGTTGACTCACATCACGAAAACGAAACTCGGAGTCAATGGAGAGGGAGCAAACGGATTCAATGAAGACCATGTAAAGCTTTTCTAAGAGGGGCAGTTTAAGTATGCAGTAACCGCAGAAAGTTTAATTATAAACCATTCTGTTGCACAATCGCAGAATACTATTCATGTACGTATTGGACATAAGCAAGTTCTCGTACCGTTTTCTGTGAATTCACTTCATACGTCCGGAGTTGAAATCAGCGGCCACTCCGGGGCGTCAGAATGCGAGCTAATATTTCCATCGCCCCCTTTTTGTGATTTTTAAACAGACAGACAACCTGAAATTGGTGCTAAAAATTATATTCACGTACTCAGGTTTATTTATCTGGACTCTGGGTTCTGCTGAACGCCATTTTTTATTATCCGTTCTGTATTTGTTCATGGTTAGACTAGGGTTCTTTTGTGGCCAGTCGCACGAACGATGTAGACGTAATACACTACTCATAAGATTGCTGAAAGTTCTTCGACAGTCCCCGACCAGTTTCACCCCCCTTGGGACTCATCTGATATGCACATTCCCCGCGTTTCCATCAACCTTATGTATGCCCTAGGTTCCGTAGGTTATCCTATCTCTTGAGCCGTCAAGAAATGAGATACCGATTTTGGATAGCAACGCGAATGCCGAACACGTCAAAATTCCTTGTGGATCACTGTGGTAAAATCTAAGGGGATTTCGATACGTTTCGGTAAACTCGAAACCAGATGGCTTCGTTCTTTCAGTGTTAGCGAGATAATTCATACTTCATACCGCCTATTTGCCACTCCCATCTTTGTTAGCTGAACTTATGTTTCATAGAGATCTGTTCAAAAGGCCTATATGATTATTAACACCCATGTAACCTAGTCCTTAGAAAAATATCTTGCTTGCGGGCTTGCTACCGCTGTCTATTTTTTTTACGCTTCTATTCGCCACGGCAGCACTGTTTCCTCCAAACAGGCCGACAACCGCCATCTGGACCACGTCAGCTGTTCGCCGCCACATGCCATCGACGTGCTTGAGAATTAGCGTGCTGATTGGTCAGCGGTTTGCGGCGACGGGCACATACCAGACAGTCTCGGTGTGATCAATGCGATGAGCGGGACCACAAAACAGGTTTGGTTACCGATGTCGCTAGATAGGAGACACGGTGCCAACTTCCTAGACGGGCATATAGCTCAACGCGTGTCATGTTCTCGTCAGTGGGGAGCAGTGTCTCACGTCTTCCAAAGACTTCACCGTTTTCGACACTGCAACCAACCTGTGGCCTTTTCGTCATCGTCAGCTGTAAAAAACCAC